ATGTGAACATCCAATGCTGTGACATATTGACTTTATTAACATCCAATGCTGTTATATATTGGCTACAGGATCATCCAATGCTATGATATATTGACTATAGGAACATCCAATGCTGTGATATATTGACTATAGGAACATCCAAGGCTGTGATATACTGACTATAGGAACATCCAATGATGTGATATATTGACTATAGGAACATCGAAGGCTGTGATATATTGACTATAGGAACATCCAATGCTCTGATATATTGACTATAGGAACATACAAGGCTGTGATATACTGACTATAGGAACATCCAAGGTTGTGATATACTGACTATAGAAACATCCAAAGCTGTGATATACTGACTATATGAACATCCAATGCTCTGACATATTGACTATAGGAACATACAAGGCTGTGATATACTGACTATATGAACATCCAATGATGTGATATATTGACTACAGGAACATCCAAGGTTGTGATATACTGACTATAGGAACATCCAATGCTGTGATATACTGACTATAGGAACATCCAAGGTTGTGATATACTGACTATAGGAACATCCAATGCTGTGATATACTGACTATAGAAACATCCAATGATATGATATACTGACTATATTTTAACCAGTCGTCGAAATTCCGATTTGAACCTTACATATTAAAGATCCCCCTAAAACGTTCATGTTTGCTTCCATCTTTTCTCATTTTGTAAACCTTGTTTTCAGGTTCCATGGAATCACCTAATTAAACTGCAATACATATCCAGTCATTATTCTACAACGAAACAATACATGGCGTTCCTAATCTCATTAAATACTTTGTTTTTGTATAACACTTATGAAGTATCTCTTCCTACCCTCTCTTAATGAAAAGAAATATCAAAATAGTATATACAATGTTGTTAATCCATACGTTCAGAAGCGCCCAATAATACTACTTTTTTAGTTCTATATGGAGACACAATAGTTCCAATGTCTCTGCTTGACTGATTCGAACGATATATATTTCTTGGTACAAAAGTATGAAATGTGTATTTGGCTAACAAAAACATAATTTAACGGAGGTTATTGAATTTGCATTGTTTATATATGTTGTGTATTCATAATTTTTCGCTGAATGGTTAAATAACTTATTCAAAATTGGGCAGTTGCAATATCAAATTGGCGATGATATTTAATATACTTCGCATGCACAAATAAAAACCATTCATGTATAAATATTTGCTTTTTCGAAATAAATAAATAGAAACCCACATATTGTACTTTACAATAATCATCTGCACTATGTCCATATCACAAACAGGTCCATGGCAAATACAATATAATATATTCAAAAACGTTTAAAAGAAAGGAAGTTTACATGTATTGGATGTGTCGCCTGCCTGGTGATTGACAATTTGAGCTTTTGGAGTGATGTTTTTCTGTGATTATTAAACCATGGACCATTGTGTAAATTTCAAGCTGACGCAACGTGGACAGAATAATATGACAGAATATAATTGTGTGGGTTTTTTATGTTGTGAGAGAGAGAGGCGTGATAATATGTTAATGGGATGAAAAAAAAGCCTGGCATAGAATGCGTGTGGCACTTTCTGAAATTCAGATGCATTTTACCTGCATAGTAGGTGATCTAATGCATGTAAATATACTGTCACATACATTATCTGAAAATACACTACCGAGCATGAGGCTAAATAACACACAATTGCTGGGTTGTTTCATTTATTGAAGACTCTATATAGAATATATTCTGTGGCCTAATCCGTTTTCTAAGATATTACCTTGTTTAGTTTAAACATATTTTATTCACAAAGTGAAAAGGATCGGAGACAATGTCTTACAACTTATAAAACCCCTCTCCAAGGTTACCTTATGCATTTACTGTGATATATATTTGTGTGTTCAACTTGTGGAAATATATATCCATTTGCTAAATAACGGAAGACATTTACTGGTTAAGTAACTAGTACAGAATTTTTCACATCTCGTGTCTCACATACTCAGTTCATTCTGGAACACATTATCTAATGTCTCATGTACAGAATACAGAGACTAATGGCTCACACAATACAAACCATTACATGGTGTCTCACATATAGTAACTACTTTTCAAGTATCTTACAAATTAAATACATTGTCTTGTGTCTCATATATAAAATACATTGCCCAGGGCCTCACACATATGTAAATTTGTCTAGTGCCAAATTTTCAGAATAGATCATTAATGTGTCTTTTTAGGGTGTCATGTGTGTTTCAGTTGTCTGGAATATGTTTCAGTTTTCGAATACAGTCTCTAAACTATTAAGTCGTCCAGGATGATATGTATTCTGTTTTGTATCATAATCTAAAATGGTTTTCATTATTTAATGCATTATCAAAAGTATTCAGTAGTCGATAATAGTTTGTGCTATATTATGATATATTTTATACATATCGCAATCATGAATTTCATCTTCATGTGGATAAGTGCACCATCAGCTCCAGTTTATAGTGTCTACATCTGTCAGATGCTGAAGCTGGTACATGTACGTGTTATTCACATTTGATCTCACGGAAAGACTAAGATTTTGAGGTTATTAGTTCACATTCAGAGGAAATTACTAAATATGTTTGATGTGCGGTGCTGTCCAGTTATTTATCCTCTATATCACAGTTTTTCCCCTCATTGCTCACTGTCACTTTAATGGGTCGGGTGGAGATGGTTGTTGGCAAGTTGTTCTACCCTGATGGTGTCGATAGTTGCTGATTGTTTAGAAGCGATAGGCGATAAACAAAGAAAGAAGCACCTGCGTCCTAATGAACACCGTACAGCAGGACATACCTCCCCTTGTCCTAAACACCTGGTGTCATCACTGATTTTGTCAGATAATTGTCTTTAGCTTTGAAAGATTGTTATATCTATATTAATATCAAAGTTTAGAATGCTCTAGTTTCAGCGTTGGTATTTAACCAGTTCCCCAGATGTGTCAGAACCAGACTAGCCTTCCTGCAACCCCTGGATGTGGTGTGCAGTTACTTAGTTTAGTCTCGGAATTATATATATAATATGATGTTGATAGAAACAAACAATTACTTTTAAAGTTGAAAGGGGGCTAGAATGAGAACTGAGATTCAGAACTTGAGATTCAAAAATGTAGACTTGCTTTATTTATTGCTTTAGCATTGCAGAAAGGGCTGGCTGGAATGGAAAATGATGTGGTTCGGGGATTGTGAGACAGACTAGTCTGTTCGCTGTGTCTTACTCTCTGTATGCATGTAATACACCTTATTTAGCAGAGAATACACGCTTGTCATTGAAAGAACACATTATTGTGTGAGTTTCGTTGACGGTTTGTTTGTTTTATAAAATATATAACATTGTGTGTGTTTTTTCTGAAGGAAAATATCTTGTGTGTTTCCTTTCTGAAGGACAACATCTTGTGTGTTTCGTTTATGAAGGACAATATCGTGCTTGCTTCAGTTCCTAGAACACACTATTATATGTGTTTCATATATAGAAAACATTGTATTTTCTGGCTCATTTACAGGACAGATTATCTGGCGTTATTTATTCTTGCTTAATATACATATGGCATTTACATAATATGTCACTTCGTATTACTCATTATCGGGGTACATATTGTATACTTCATTGACATAGTACCTTATAGTATTATTTCATTGAAAAGTTCATTAATAGAGTAAATGATCCTTTGTTTTCCATGGTCTTGTGTTGATAGCATATACTCGGCACACATTGACCTTGATCACACTTAATTCCAACCATAGTGCGTTGAGGCTCGTCACATGGGGCAAGAGTAAAAATAATAAAGAGAAGCCCACGTGTATAGTTTTAAAATGGCCTATGTGTGCGCGGAACATTTCCCTAATTTCAAATAAATTTTTCGACCTTTTGGATATTACCCATGTGAGTGCAAACGACAAACTTTGATTAGAAACAGTTTTGACCTATTTCGTGGATTTCATTTGGGCATTTCCGATCCGACTCTAATTTTCAAGTTTTTCGACAAATCCTAGAGTGTCATAATTGCATCATCTTCTCCAAAATTACATTATGTAGTGTTTTACTCTATACAATGCAACATTTTGTTTATAAATTTTAAAACGAAGTGTTATGAATTTCTTGAAAAATAATTCTTGTGTCTATCTTTCAAAGATTATTTTGTCACAAGTGTTTCATTGGCAGAATACAGAATGTTGTTTGAATACAGTGTTGCGTGTTTCGTTCAATGCCAGGTGTGTTTCGTTTATTTACTACATTGTCCTGCAGTTTCTCATTTCCCATATGGCTGTTTTTATAAGATGGATTTCCTTGGGTCTTCTTAATAGAATATATAATATATAATTCATTGATAGTGCTTTACTATTTTATGTTTCGTCTACCAAATACGCATTAGCTGGTTGGTTTCATTGATAGGCTATTTTATGTATGGTATACTTTATGTTGTGTGTGAATGATGATATTTTATGGAAGGAGCGGGTAGTTATAATACTAATTCGTTTAAAATTTTAAAAACGTATAGACCATTCTGTGCTTCATCTCCAGAATACATTTTATTTTCCAGCAGGTATATTTAAGGAAACATCATGGTTTTGCCGTTTATTTGCTGACGAAATTATCTGATATTTCTAATGTGCAGTTTGAGTGCAGTTCCTTCATGGCTCAGCTACAGAGAGAGTTTTGAAGTATCATGTCTCTCTCACTCCTTCCATGTCATTATCGTGTTGTAAAGGTGATGGTGCTGCACCGTGCTGTGGCTTACAGTAATTAAAGATTACAACATTATTAGTTGGTAACCATGTAATATTCTTGGTTACGTTGTGCCGATATATATCAAGGTTTCGAACTCATGTTAAATTCAAAGTTAACAAAGTTACCAAAGTATCAAAGCATATAAAATATAAGATCTTTGCAATTGATAATGTTATTTTTAATCAAAAGACATATTACTTCAGAATATTCCCAGCTTTGAATTGTATGTTGTAAAAGCAAGACAAGAGACAGGTATCTACGAAAATAAATAATTTTAATTTAGGATATATTATACAACAGTGAAGTATTTGGCTGCAGACATCCACAATCTGCGTCACCTTGATGAGGAAGTGTCGCTGTGCATCTGTCCCCGAGAAACCTGCAACAACAATATCAAAACAAAACTGTAAATATAGCAGGTGAAAGGAACTTAATGGAAACGTTGTCGTCAATTCAGCTGATAGGAAAGAAAAATCTAGGCTCGGAGATTGGAGACAAGGGAATGAAGACTATTGGCTTTGCACATGAAGGTTTCAGATTTCATAACCTTGTTCCTGTGTAATACTATTTCGTCTTCGAAGTCGACAAAAATAACATAAAAACTAACGAACATTTATGATCCTGTCTTTTAGGTGATGACAGAAAATGTAAAATGTGACATATTGAAATTCTTAACCATTATATGTTCCTTACTGAAAACTATACTGTTGCAACAATATTTGGCTCTACGTTTACTTACACATATTAATATAAATTACTACACATTATTATTCTTGGCAGTGTATGCCGGCTAGGTTTAATATATTTGATTAATTTCATGAACCCAAACAGAACGAAATCAGGAATTGGCCTTGTTGTGATGGCAGTAGGCCAAATGCACATAAACAGTAATAGATCCTAAACATAAGGCTTATCGGCTCCATAAATAATTTTGATTAAATACATTCTATAAATTAGTTCACGACCTATCACTGCAAATTACGATCTAATTCAAATTTTAATACAGCTTATTAAATATAATTAACTGTTTATCAACTGTTGTTAATTTCACATGCCAAAATCACCTGTAAGAGTTATATATTTCACCATTTCACTGGCTAATCTTAGACAGGCTATGTAATGACAACGCTATCGATTTCACCTGATTAGAATTTAATTATATGCACGTCAAAACTCGACCTATCAGATAACCAAGGACTACACGAGCGATGGAAGTAATAGGACGGGATTCAGAGGTCTTGTCAAACAACGCTAGTTAAAAGATGTACATAACAGTATTGTCAGTTTCACAACTCGGGGAGATGTAGATTTAATTTGCATGACAATACGCAGGTTGAGACGCACACATCTCCTGTCATTTCATCCTTCTGCCCAGTGCAATAGACAACGGCAATTAACACCACCTGTCATGAAGCTTAACATCAAGCTGCACATATCACCATGGAACAGTACACTTTATGATTGATTCATACATATGCATGTGAATGTATTATTTACAGCTCCCCATACAGTGTGTTGATATATGATAGACAAATATTTTTCAACAGAAATAATTCTAGTAGTCAGTTGCAGTGTTAAGCTGTATTTCATAGAAACATTCGGTTCATTGAGCTGTTCCCTCTGTTTTAATATTAGCTGATAATGGCTTCATTTCGCCGGTGTTCAGTTTTAATGAAATTTGGTTTATTGGCAATAAATGTCAGAAAAACCTTAGATTTGATAAAACAAATGTGATATTTGCACTATAAGAGCAGATGCTAAAATAGATTCATAACAAAAACTCAATTATCCATAATTCACAATTGTGTATGTTGATTGTTATGGATATAGCAGTCAAATGAAAAGGAAATATTTTAATAGATATTACGAAAAGGAGGGTAGGACTTATGCAAGTGACTTTCTGACGTTTGTGTTGGTTACAGCATTTGTCAAACTCATGTGTATTACCACGGTATGTGACTATACATGAAGTATTTCCTTAACGACTATCCTGTTCATCTCGTTTGTGAACAAAATAAATATGCCATAAGCCTATGTTCAGCACAGTGGAAAATTCCCATATATGCTTTTTCATACCAAAGCAATACCATTTCACATTAGATAAACAAACTGACATCTCAGTTCTACATACATGCACCAAAACCAAGTTGGCAATGCCCCATTTAAGATTCAAGAAAAAGCGCGTTAATATGACTGTGTGAAAAGATTATTTCTGAAAAGAGGCTCCTTCAGAAATTGGAGGTGAATAGCTGAAACTTATAGCCAAAGAATCACTCTTATCACTTGAAAACTCTTTCAACATATCGTTTACTTATTATTCTATACTTAGCGAGGGCTTTGAAGACCTGCGATCGCTTAAAAGACAATTTTCATCATTTATCCAGCGCTTTGAAGTGATATTGCGCGTCAAATCAGTCGGTGAAATTGACAACAGCTTGTTCATTAGTTAAGATATGGTCGTCGGTTCATTACAGGCGCCCCCTGCAGGGTAATTGATCCTCACTGGGTAGTTCGGTGCACTACTTTCTTTGGCGTAGATATGTTTACAAAGAGTGATGCGAACGTTTAGAATAGTTCACAAGATTACAAGGAATATGGCATTTAATCGTGCAATAAAGGATGGTATGTTTGGTTGCAAGAGCATGGAGCGTTTGGTATGCATTGAATAGAAAAAGAAGTGATTTATACCTGCAAGGGCATTGTATTTTCACGGGTCGCCAAACAATCCCGCCATCTTGATTTTCGAACAATGGCGGCCATGACGTTGGATCATCGTCTGCTCTCTGTGACGTCAGATCATTAGCTGGTCGTCTGGGGCGAATGGACACTGGCCCCTCGGGAGAAACGTGCTTCTTTGATGATGTAATCATTTCATGACGACCACAAATCGAGCTGTCAGTGTTTATAGGTAGCTAACTGAACCTATTTTTCGGTCATTATCAAGACGGAAATGTATCGCCTCAAACTGAAGATTTCATTCATTTGCAGTCTTTGAAGTCTTGACTTGACGACGAACTGTCGTTCTATGGTCATCATTTTAAGATTGCAAGCAGACTTGCGACAGGGTCTATGGGGAGTTCATTCTAATCAAAACAGTATATTTCATCTTACGTTTGAGAATATAGCTTTGAGTCAAGATATCACAGTTAATGCACCACCATGTTCAATATTGCACAACAGAAACTGCTATGACGGCTAATGTCAGTGGAGGTGAGGCACCCCTGACTGTAGACTCGTGTACACTGCTAACGGAGACATCATGGAAGAGGAAAATAGAGGTGCACGTGACACGTGACCATTGTACAGCGCAGCCGCAGCTGCCGACGGAAGCGACACACCAAACAATGGCGGAAGCATTGGTCTAGAGGCCATTCGAAGCTTTTCTAATTCGGCTTCTTGAAGTCGTTTTGCTTTTGCACGTCGATTTTGGAACCAGATTTTCACTTGTGTTTCTGTCAGATTTAGGGACGCTGAAAACTCGGCTCTTTCCGCTATGGAGAGGTACTGTTTTTCCCGGAACTTCCGCTCAAGCGACATCAGTTGTGTGGTCGTAAACGGGGTTCTTGGCTTTCTGTTTGGTTTGTGCTTACGGAGGCATGTTTTAGGACTTATTGGCTGTCGTTCTCCTATACCTGGAACAATGAGAAATACATCATGTATGTCAACTAATATCGACGTCATTATTACATCCACAACACCACGAATTAACTATCGATGTGTTATACACATATGAATGGATAGGTATGATGAGATGAAATTGTTTAAATGCAGACAAGTCTCAATGTTGGTCGAAAAGTATTGCAGGATATGCTGTCGACCCGCCATCGAATTAATAAATTCAACTTTGCCCATCTTCTCAAGACTTCGTTGAGCAAAGTCCATACATAATCTGCACCTTGAATTCTTATTCTCTGTCATAAAAAAGTTATTTAACAAGGACCACAAACATCTCATAATACAAACATAAAAACCTATGAACTACATAGTTCAGATGATCAAAGGACCGTCTCAATGAAACTCTTGAGGGTCAATTGTTGGATTTCGACATGTCTACTTACGGTTTATGCAAAGTGCATGTTATACCACAGACATTACTGGGGCGGTATTGTGTCGGTTTACTGGTGTATAAAATAGCCCAGCAGTACATGTTGAAAATGTGATAGACTACAAATAAAAGTTCCAATTATAGAGTCTTTAATCATCCCTCGTGCAGAGTTTATATCACACATTGCGTTTTTCTTCAAAGTGTGAAATATTAGATTTAAATATTAAAATGCCACATCTTTATGCCTCTGAAAATTCTTTATGAACATTTTTCATGTCTTTGATATAAATATAATGCCTTTTCTTTCACGTCTGATTAATTCCAACTATTTAATATCGTGTTTTAGCGATGCGTTTTACATAAAAGCGTTGTCGGACATACATATTAATTTCGATATAGACACTCAGACGCCTTGAATACTGCCTGTATAAACACGATATCATATCCCCTGTTTATATGTGATATATGTTGACTGACTGCAATCCCATTTCTGTTAGTATGGATGAAAGGTTTCAATTTGTGGTGTTAGCGTTCCACGACCTCCTTAACAACATGTCCCTCGTTAAGTGAATGACTAAATCTACAATCACGAACTATTATCCGATGCTGGAGAACAATGCTTTCAATAGGAGAATCTTTGGGCGATTTGTATTTTATGCATTCTCTAAACTTTCAAATGTAAATTAAGCATGTTGTCGTGCTATGGTCATTTACACTTTCACACTGTTTACCTTTATGTCACATCAGTATGCTTTGTCAAGTAATCATTAACACTTTAACGGCCTTGTCTCCTAAAATCCATACGGACTGTTTAATGCTTCACTCTTTAAACTGATTAGTGGAATTGCTTTCCCTGTATGGATAGTATACGATTAACTCATGCGTATTTGAAGGCATCGCCTGATAAATACCACCCAGCTGCTGCTATTCACAGCGATCTGTCATATATTCGGTGAAATACATTATTGTACATTTCAAACGTTCTGACTACAGTACCCCAAAGTGCCTTTGTTCGTGTGCAGTGAAAGTGACAAGTTGATCGCGCGTAGCATCAGAAATGAAAACAGACTTACAATCGAAATGATTCGGACGGTGCAATTCAGTTCATTACAGTCGTTGTCATGTAGATTTCAATTTTTGTGAAATCTAACGACTCGTGTGACACGGAGACCGATATAGACATGGGTGTACTCATCCTGCTACAGGTGATAAACTGTCAGTAGCAATGCAGGTTATTGTGCAGATATGGACTGAATCAGCCAGGACATTACGTAGTGAGTTAGTAACCTATGTTCACAACGATTAATGCATCATAAAGACGCTACTATACGTCAACCTCCAATGAACTGAGAACATAAAATCAGTCAATAATACTGAATATAAGATCATACCATTATTTAAAATATTAACCATATTATCAATTATTATTATTGATTTCAAGTAATTGGTGATTTCAAGTGGTGTTTGTGCTCTATGTATGTTTTGCCAGGTATTAGGTAATAAATCATAAAATGATAGTAACAGAGACACTCAAGACGTCAATAATCATTGATTTTATCTGTCAGATCACCAGCATAAAGAATTATCAAGACATTTAGATTTCAAAATGAGACTTTTCTCCTTAACAATGGTGATATATTTCAAAGTGTACCAGTCCAAACACTAACCCCCTGATCAGTACACACAGCTCTCCGTCCACAAACCATCTCTCCAGAAATAAACCGGTTTAATTTGTAACGTTACAAGTCGTATCGATATGTTAGAAACGTACCCCAAGGAGCTCCCTATTAGAAAATTGTCCTATATCTTAACACATAGAATTTCACGAAGCATGGAACTGCCGTGTAGTGTTTCATTAATTATGTACACGTTGATCTATTATAATGAGGAGTTAATTGGTCTCCGTGGACTTATGTCTGCAGACAGGAAACCACAAGGCAGCAACCAACCATAGTATATATTACGCTGTAAAACCGAGGTGCATTTCCTTCGTTCCGCCCGTTGATCTGTGTTCCGGAGGTGACTTTGTATTAACTTCAGTACGTCTATGACATTGTCATATATTTCATACCTCATTCTCAGTCGACCAGACAAAAAATATATATTCCCACACTGTTTCATATTTAGCTCGGTATCATATAGAAGCAACAAGGTCGGAGTTTATAATTTTATTTACATCAAATTTATTCCTTACAGGATCACATCTATGTAAATGTGAATACACGCCAGATATGATGTCTTTCCTCTTAGTGATATTAAAATCGCAATTATATATTCCTACTGTTTGAAACAGAATTATAACTAAAAGTTTATATCTAATTCAGAACACTTATCCTAGCAATCATAAACGTTACTGGTCTTTTTTTTATTAAATCGTTTTTATTAACTATTTAATCAGGAAAAAACAAGCTCAAATATTCTCTTAATTCAAGGCTCTTGAATAAGATATCATATATTCATCGTTTCATATATCTCGGACAGCTTAGTTCCAAACAGTCATAAAAATTAATATCAGATGATTAATTAATATAGAGGAATATTACCCTGATATCAAACACCGAGTATATGGTCTCTGTTTTCCCCAAACTATGTCTTAATTTATAATATTTTACTAATCTTTGTCACTTATTGGAGACAGTGGTGATTATGTTAGAAACATTGGTCGACTAATGCACTGCGCGTATAGATGGCGATCTGTGTGGGGTTATATGCGTTTATTCGATTATTTAACTTAAACTTCTACTGTTTCCCAACTAAACACACAGCTGTTAGAGAGTAGCCCCGCGGGGTTTATAACACCCATTAAACCTGCATGTGCCATCGGTAGGTTCATTCATGGAGCTGCGTAATAAAGTAATACGTTTATAAAGTTAAATTTGATTCCTAAACATAATTTTGGCTTGCATTCTATCGTTATCCGAGCATAAAATTAAACATTAGACTCACAAAGATATTGATCGATATTGTTAATGGTATAAATATGGTGTACGTGTATTTTGCCTATCAGGATCGTTCTCGGTAACGTGTGGCGATGAAACAAACACAAAGTTGAAATATGTAATTCAATATAAGGCACTGATGTAACTGAATATTATTCAGATTTATCAGGCGTCACAGGTTGTACTGCCAATCGGTAAAAAATGTGCAATCAGACGTGATGTCTTAAAACAAGCGCAATATCTCGACTGAAGAAACGACGTTTACAAACACCACGCGTTCAACAATCGTTCGTTGTTGGTATATACCTTGCTCGTTCAGGGCGGTGCAATAAACCCACTTATAGCCACTGTTGACATTATTAGTGTAAACCTAGGGCCACTTAGCCACTGGGCAGTGATGGCCACTCTCTCATGATTAGCCCATTAACATATTGTTAGATACAATCGATGAGCTATCTACATGCTGGTTATATAGGTGTAATTGACAACATAATGCTGTATAGATGGTTCGCCGACTTCCCCGAGGCTATGTGAGAAATAGGTGCGAGATTGTGATATGTACATGCTTGAACTGATATATACACGACATGATGGTTGTGCTGTAGGTAATACAGGCAAATAAAGATACGAGGCCACATATCCTACCGATCTCGACTAGTATGGATAAAAGTGATTGTAGGAGTACGTGCTTATAATGGCATGTAAATATCATGCATGATTTTATGGTAGAAAGTTATACTAGTTTCATGCAAAAGCTAAAAGACACCTAGCATATATTTCTAAATTCATCATAACTTCGTACAGCAGAAGAATTGCTTTGCACCGAAACAATATTTGCAATGTGTTGGGATATGTCATATAAGGTCTGGAAACAAATAACGTTTTCTGTGCATTTCAATATATCGGAAACCATCCACCCGTATTAGCATTTTGACTGGTATCATAGACTGAATGCGTGCTATGAACAGAAATGAAACTGTTAAATTGAATCTAACATCATATCCACTTTATCCACTTGCAATTTAGGGGTGTCAGAAATTTTATTTTAAACATAATTGTTTTCTTAGAAAAGGGCGGTTCGTATACGACGTCTGTTTAGCACAGCATGATTATTCTGTACATGGGATCAACAGATTTCAAATTTCGTGTTTTGGTTTAGCTTGTGATGTATTTTGTATCTGCAATTCTGTCTTAATCCTTTGTACAGCATAAATATTCAAAACAACTTGTAAATAAACTATTTCGGAGTTCATCTCGCATACAAGCATATTGTAACCGATCTGCAAACATAAATACCTTGTTACAGATATCACATTCAATCGTTTAATACTCAACAGTGGTGTTATTTAGGTGCGGATGCGCGCTATCACCTGCAGTTACTCAGTTAAAAACGGTGTATTTCTAAATAAAACTGATGAATTTTTGAATGCATGGAAATGTTCTATTGAAGGGATATGAAGACTTTGCAGATAACATCAATAGTAGTCAAATCATACGAATGAGACTGTCAGTTGTATTATGTTGCAAGTTGCACATATAAAACTGGATATTTAAAAATCACCACAAAATGCTTGAAATAAGTAGATTCATACTCAGAATACTAACATAACGTGACTCTACTTGGATTTCACATGCACTGAATATCAGCGGAATAAATTTACAAACTTATACCAGTCCCTTCTTCGTGTATGTGAATTGCAAATTTACAAAATCATTAGTGATTTTGAAAAAATACAATAACTGGGTTCATCCAGGTAGTGTAAGTTCACGTACTCAAATTCTCTTGATTATCTAACCGTGTCTGAAAACAGCTTAAGCACTTTGGAAAGCATTAGTTAAATAATTGAACATGTTGTCACAATAACGCATCCCGGAGGTGTGATCGTGGTGGCATACAGCGATGGTTCAACAGTGTCAGTGCACCTGACAACTAGAATTGCCGTTATTAACATACACTTTTTTAACCCAAATCGATGTTTATTGTCAGTAAACGGCGTGACATCCCAACTGCGTATCAAACGTTATATGTTTAAGATATATTTAAAATATATGCTGAAACAGCTCAGCCAGAAAACAGTACAATATTCGTGGTGTTTTGTAAGATTTTCCTTATTTTTATAAAGAAAGGTTTGGTAGTTGTAAAGACTTTAAGAAGAAATAACTGGATATAATTTTATCAAAACTTTCGAATACGTACCATTTGCATGTTGAAATCTTGAAGCATAGTACCAAGATGGAAACGATGACGTGACAGGACTGACGGGTGGCCATCTGCCCTCCACCCCTGTGGCTGAGGGTGAGTCTGGGGGGCTGGAAGGGGGAGAGCGGCTACCTAGGGTGGAATTGCTTTGCTCTGGGCTCGCGGGTCGTCGCTCGGGTTTAGCGAGAATATCGTCAACGGAGAAGGAACATCGGGTCGATTTGACAGGAACACATTTTTGCTCGTCTTTTCTCGAATCCTTTCCGTCTGTTGTCGTTTTGGAATCACTAGGGGTACTGGGTGTCTTTAGAGAGTCAGGAGTCACACTAACTTCCAAATCTAAACCGTGCATGTTGCTAGTTGTGTCGACGTCGCCTTGTGCCGTCTGCACTCGAGCGGTATCGTCTGCTTCGCTCTGACTGCCGACAGCACTCACTGCTATCGGCGTGAAGGCTGAGTTGCTGCTTGTTTTCAACGACATTCTAACCTCAGATTCTCGTGAGTGAATCTCAATTTCAATACATCAGGTCAAATTAATCTTCTAACTTCGTCAACGGTGTTTCCTCTTTTCTTGAAACGAAACCTCGCATTCTACGAACAAAGCCCCGCCCCCGACAGCTAACCAGCGAATGGAGGAAATGACATCACGAAACGATGCAATGTGATTGGTCGCTTGGCGTGGTAGTTACAAATGATTGACGGTTCAGCGCGGGGCGTCTATCGTCTCAGCGAAGAGATCGTTTGTACACCAAAACCTAGCGATGTAAACAATTTGTGTCGCATCTCCTATATTAGCTGGCGCTGACAGGCCCGACTCGGTCGAGCGGAAAATGCATTAGTATTTACAGCATGGCCGCGGCTTAGTTTGTAGAGCAATGCACATGTTGGGAAATTACTTGGCGAATATGGAATCTCTGCATCAATTACACCAGACTTGGTGCGATATTAATTTAGTTAAGCTTTCAAACAATGTAACAATATCGAAACGCGCAGGGAGCGTGGTTTATTGATAACGAGGTGAAATTTCCTTGGAATTAAATTTGACTAATCGTCTTTGTGACACGGCCGGGAAGTAATAACTATTTTAAGAATTTTCTCCCAGTAGAAAAATAAATTTAAAATTCACGATTTTATGATTTACTTATAGAATTAGAAAACACATGCTAATATGAATCAATAAATGTTTGGTTCATAATTTCAGAATTATGAACCAAATAATTTTGTGCATTGTTTTCATTCATTTTTAAAATATACGATGCTCTTCTAGAGTTGTTTCAGTACCACAATTGCGTTAAGACAATTACGTTAAGACAATTACGTTAAGACAATTACGGTTGATATATTTCAGAACGAATTTGTTGCACCTCGCGGAACATCAAAGTGAAAGATATCATGATCCAACACATAAGATATACTAATTTAAAATTCATTTCTTTTGATCAAAATAATTTGCTTTAATCTATCACCACATATCTCACATATATATCTAAGTAAGTAAATTCCTATACATCATTTATTCTCAACAGTGTCAAATCGTAAATAATTTTAGAAATCGCTTTATATCGCTTCCTCCAATCTTCCTATTAAAAAGTCAACGACGGCCTTTTTTATTCGTCATGATAAGGGTATCTGCCTACACGCCCAATCTGACGAGAGGTGAAATTACCCTTCTTATCTTGATGGTACGACAAGCCCCGGCCTTACCCTCGGGCACAATACTACGCATGCGTGGACAAACACAATACCCGGATGAGCGAGCCCACTCTCTTCTACATAAACGCGCATGATAACATCACTGTGTATAGCTTAACACTCGTCAGCAATAGCAGGCAATTTCGATACCTCTAAACATTCCCAAATTATTTGCAATTTAAATTGTAAACATACCCACCGTTGTCGGTAGTAAAACGATGCCGTATAGAAGTCAAGTCCGGTGACGACCATTTTTTTGTCCGGTTTATATCGCCCGATCTCTTTAATGTGACATTTGGCGATACCCCGGTCCGGGACCATCTGATCCGGTTTTCGTTTTAAAAAGAAGTTAAAATTAGATAAAATAGCATGAAATTTGCGCTAGGAAAGTTGACATAGATAGGCAACACGAGATGGGGGTTTGCTTTATTTCATCGAGAGAAACGCTAAGGCCTCGATTAATAGATATGTATCATTATGAAATAAAAGTATAATGTATAGAAATTATGGGTGATTGATTCCAGCGATGCCATATGGAATCTGAGTAAACGGACACAAATTGAAATAACCGCATACTGAAGACTTGTGCCCAAAAGTAGCCTAAAAAAAGTTTCCTAACAAGAATTAATTTTAAACAAATCCGTGTTAGAGCATTTCTCATCAACAGTTGAATATCAGCTTGTCTATGAGGTACCTTCATTAATTCGAATTTGCAAGACATCAATATGAAACGGTTCTTGAACAAGGCGACTTCATCTAGACGTATAGCAAAATAGTTCTCCATTTGACTGATCAAACACATTCGCTCAATCAAGTTAATTTTGCTGTTAGAAAATGTAGCAATTGTTACAAGAATGTGTTGGCCGTAGATTTCAGTCATTGCTGAAATGCATATAGTTCAAAGGTATAGCCATCATGTTTGTTCAGTGTTTGAAACGGTTGAAGAATTGCACCAGGAGACACTATCATAAGACATTTTAAAAAAAATACTGATATGAAAGTTATAACATTACGTCCAGAAATGAAGGGTTGCGTCACTAAAGTAGTAGAATTTTAGGTCGATAAAATGTGTTCGTTGAAACCGATTACTAAATGAATGGAACGTGAGGTACACGTTTCAGGGTTAAAACGGTCTACTTTACACTAGATATCCACATTGTATCTACTGTTCGTGATAGTGGATTCTATATTCGGAACATTACAAGAAGAATATAGATCTTTACAGGTTCAAAACGTAAACAATTCTGTACCTTTCATTAATACAAACGCATAAATAGGGGCAAATATATGAATACAAATAGCAAACATGTATATTTTTTTACAATCTTGTTCAACTGTCATGGTTTCCAATAATTAATAGCTTATTGTTTGGATGTCAGAAAAGGTTTTGATCCTCCTATTTAAAACAATATTGATGCGGTTCCGCTGTCACTTTGATACGACAAACAAATTATGTAAATTTGATTGACTAAAACATTTAGAAAGATATGCATCTAAATTGACACAGTGGGAGTTATGTTTGAATTTATGGTAGAAAACATCATTGAATTTTAACACGACCTGTCAATCAACATGACAGGTTTTTTATCAAGATGTCATGTGTGCAAAAGTATGTAAATATCATGTCACGTTCACAGTATATTAAAAAAACGGCAGACTTGAATTAAATGTTTTTGAATTTGTCTCATGTTAACAAATTACAATAGATGTGAATAGTACAAATATAACGTGGCTGCATTTCTACATAGTTATCAAAATGTATTCGCAAACAAAGGCAAAGGCGTATGTATATTTACACAGTTGTGTGACTGACTTATGTTATATTTAATAGTCTTCTAGCTGTCAAACTAAAACTAACAAGATTGCCAGCTAAACGCCTTGGTTTATCAGTATTCTTCATTATTACGCATGGCGGATTTAGATCTTGCTGATAATTGATATAACAGGCATCATAAAAAAACAATTACACATACTGATAATTCATATTGATGTTTGGTACAAATTTCCTTTTATATGTCCACGATATATTCCACACTGCTTTATAGTATAAGATAAGATACTTTATCTGTTTGTGTTTATGACAAATCTATTTTTGTTCAGCAGTAGGTATGTCGGCAGATTTCTATAGGTCGGATGAGTGAATATTGTTTATCTCCGCGATCAAATCAGTCTGCTGTGTTTGCAGTCGGTATGTTGGCTCTTTTTCTTGTCGTGTGAGTGAATATTGGTTAAAGCCGTAGTCTGAGTGAACATTCATGTTTTATCTTTTATCCAGCTGTATCACTGATGTCTGTAAATAACCTAGCATATGCAAGGCGGACTAGTGACTGATGGTATGAACAACCCGGGGGGCATGGGGGGTCACTGGCACACAACCAACCACATCCTGACCAAACAATCCCCGTTACTCTTGTCATCAGAACGTGCATGTTATACCAGCCACCTAGGGACGTATTATTGGATCACCTTGTGCAGCTGGTATATTACACATTTAACATATTACTTACAAAGTTACGCTTAAAGAGCCCTTAATTAATTCTTTAAAGCTTACATTTTAAAGTCCATACGTTTTCAAATCTTAAAATGTTATTTTAACCTAAGAAATATGTTATCTGTGTAAAACGCATCTATCACAAACATGATAAGTGACAGACTCACTAGAAGATTAATTACGATGTAACTTGATCTTTTTTTCAGCAGGCTATTCCTGCAAAGTCATTCGAAACGATATTAACTCAAGTTATTAAGTCCAAAGCCATAGCGTAGATTGTACACAGGGTGTAGGTATCCCCGTCTTTTAAATAGCCCCTTGTCCTGACGAAAGTCTCTTAATGGGACATAAAATTACAAAACGGTCTTTCATACAAGGATAATCATCCGGAAAAATGGTTTATTCTTTATCTTTCTCGCTTAGGAGGGTTATAAAAGTATGGGCAAGCTTTACAAAAAAATGTTTTGTAACAAATGGCCCCTTGCTAGCGGAAATTCAACATTCCCCAACCCCAGAGTCATAAATCCTTGGAGAAGGTTCATATTTGCCCACAAAGTTAAATTTGTTTACATTTTGTTGGCGGATGAATACTTTAGGGTGAATTACTCTATCACGCTCTGACGGATTCATTCGCGACAGGATAAAGTTCCTGTTCGTCCGGCAACAGAAAAAACCCAGTCATTACATTATCAAGGCGGGTGTGCAATCTATTGGCCTTCGTCCAGTGTCTTAAAAATTAAATTAATAAATAACCCGAAATATGAGAAGTATTAACTTGTAGAAACGAAAGTTAATAAAACGACTACTTGGTTCGGTAGATGACATTACTGTGAAAATAACACAAAATAGCGTTCTTGTTAAACGTGTATTAAATTGATAGAATATCATTCTCCAAAGTGTGACCTGTTGAAAACACATGACTGTACTGACACATCGCCAAATCATTGAAGAACAATAGGCTAAATAGTGAAGTTTAAGTTTCTATTAAAACCGCATCTTGAATGTGCTCCAAAAACACCTCGACGAACTATGTTTATGTTATGTTGGAACATTTTAGAAGAATGTTGAGAAAATTACAACTGATTCTAAGTTATAGTGTACACTGTACAGGTACACAAAATGCCCGGATATAAGAGTCCAGATATTTGTGCTGATCAAACTTCTTTATATACGTAAATTGCTTATATCTGGAGAAATAGATACTTTTTACAAGCAACTTTTCGCTTCAGGAACCTTTTATCTGAGGTGCTAATGTCATGTCTATTTCACGAACAATCAGCTGTCAAATGTCTGTCTCGAGGACTGTAGAATTATAAGGTCATTACCCAATCAGCGATACAGTATTAGCACAACTGATACTGTTTCAGCGTTAGTGGTGACGTAATGACGTTAAAAAGTAATCGTTAACGTCA